CGATGTTTTCTGATGTCTTGGGCAACCACTGTGAAAGGGTCATTCAACCTGCAAAGGGGTTGCAACCCACAGGTTGAGAACCACTGTTCTAGAGGATCCAGGACTTAGGTAAGAAAGGATGCCCTGGAAAGGCCTGAAGGTATAGATGGGAACATCAGGAGTTAGAAGACAGCAGAGTCAGTGAGTGATATGGCTCATTGCCTCTGAGCCTGAGGACCTGATCCCTAGGATTCACATGGTGGAATTAGAAAACAGACTCTTGGAAATTTGGTGTTGGTTTCTCTTTCACTCTAGCCCCACGCTGATATGTCAAAACGTTGTTTTTACTCTTTTAGGGGGCCCACCACCCAGCTCCCACATAAATGACTCATGGAGGCTTATTCTTAATTATAAATGCCCAGCCTTAGCTTGGCTTGTTTCTTGCCAGCTTTCTTTAACTTTAAATTAGCCCCATCTATCTTTTGCCTCTAGGCTTTTCCTGTTCTCTTACTTCTGTAAATCTTACTCTTATTCAGTGGCTTGCAATGTAGTTGGGTGGCTGGCCCCTTAAGTCCTCCTCCTTCTCTGGCTACTTCTTTTCTCCTCCAAGATTTCTCCTTCTATTTCTTCTCTCTGCTTGCCAGCCCTGCCTATCCTTTCTTCTGCCATTGGCCATTCAGCTCTTTATTAGCCCATCAAGGTGTTTTAGGCAGGCAAAGTATCACAGCTTCACAGAGTTAAACAAATGCAACATAAACAAAAGTAACACACCTTAAAATAATACTCCCTAACAGAAATTATGTCTATAAAACTCATGTCTATAATCTCAGCACTTGAAAGGTTGAGACAGGAATGTTGCCTTGAGTTTGAAACCAGCCTAGGCTAAAGAATGAGATAGTGTCTCAAAACCAACAACAAAATGGGTTATGGACAACTGCCAAGACACAGTTCTCTGAGGCTTCTGATCCTACATGACAAGCACACAGTAGTGTAGATCCTTTGAGGTTATAGACGGTGGCAGACAGGCATGTTGCTGAAGCAGCAGCTGTGAGTTCACATCTCGATCCACAAACCGCAAGCAGAGAGGGTTTACTGGGAATGGTGCCAGTCTTTTGAAACCTCAAACCCCAATGGCACACTTCTTCAAGGCTACACTTCCTAAACCTTCCCAAACAGTTCCACCAACTGGGGACCAAGTATTCAACATATAAGCACCCCCCAGGGGGGGTTGGTTCTAATTCAAACTACCGTAGTGCTCACTTCCGAGAAGCCAGTGGGTATGCAAAGATACGAGTAGTGGCTTTGCACTGCACAGACTGTGTTCTGGAGCTGCAAGCACATTAGGCTTATACCTTGGTTCAACCAGGTTATACAAGGGCTGGGAGGCTGCCTCATATCTCAAGGTATGAATGAAATAGAAAAATTTTCGAATGCCACCCACAAAGGTGCAATCCACACCTTCCTCACTCATGCCATACGGCTTAATTAGATCACGTTCTCCCTGGCCTCATGTGAGTGTGTGTGTATGCTACCTGATTGTGGTAAGCACATATTCTACCACTGAGCTCCAGCTCAGGTCAGCCACTTTTTGTAGAACATAATGCTAATTTCAGCACTTTCAGAAGTCAGAGTTTAACCCTTGTATCTCCACTTTAGTGCCAACTACCAGCTGCCAGGACCCTTCTCCTCTCTGGACTCCAGCATTGAAATCCTGAAGAAGAAAGCCCAGGAGCTGATTGAAAATATCAATGAGAGCAGGCAGAAGGACCATGCACTTATGACTAACTTCAGGGACAGCCTCAAGATGAAGGTGACAGAATCCCTCAGAGGGAAGGAAGAACCTATGGTCTGACATCTGTTAAATTCCAGAGACCCTGCGAGGCGCTTTGCACATGGTTCTCATTTTACTCTAGAACACTTAGTAGATTGGGCCATTCTCATAGGTTAGAGAAAACTAAGGCTCAGAAATGAATGAGTTTGGATGAGTGTGTTGCTTAATGGTAGAGCATTTGCCTAACCTGAAAACAGCTATTGGTTTGATACTCACTTACACACACGCACACAATTTTTTTAAGTGGTAAACCAGATATGGTAGCTCCACCTTAAAATCTCAGTACTTAGGAAGCAGAGGCAGGCAAATCTCTGCATTCAAGGCCATCCTGGTATAGGTAGTTAAATTTTCTTTCTTTTTTTTTTTTTTTAAAGTTTTTTGAGACAGGGTTTCTCTGTGTAGCCCTGGCTGTCCTGAAACTCACAGAGATGCACCTACCTCTGCCTCCCAAGTGCTAGAATTAAAGGTGTGTGTCATCTACTGCCTGGCATACATAGTGAGTTTCAAGCCAGCCATGCTACATAGTGAGAGTTTGGTCTCAAAAAAATTTTTAAAAGTGGGGCTTGAGATGGCTCTGCAGTTAAGAGCGCTTACTGCTCTTCCAGAGGACTGAGTTTGACTCCTAACACCTGTCAGGTAACTTACATTTGCCTATAACTCGGGGCTGGAGAGATGGCTCAGAGGTTAAGAGCATTGGCTGTTCTTCCAAAGGATCTGGGTTCAATTCCCAGCACCCACATGGCAGCTTACAACTGTCTGTAACTGAAGTTCCAGAGGATCTGATACCTTCACACCAGTGCACATAAAATAAAGTAAAAACAAAAAAAAATTAAAAAAAACAAAAAAAATTGCCTATAACTCCAGCTCCAGTAGATCAGATGCCCTCTTCTGACCTCCACAGTTACTAGGCATGCATGTTACACATACAGACAAGCAGGCAAAACACCCATATCTTTAAAAATAAAAAAAGTAGTAAATGATATAAGGGAGCCAGGCTCAGGAACCCAGAGCTATCCATCTCAAGAGTCTTAAGCATGCTAGGTAAGTCTTCTAATACTGAGCCTTACTTTTTATTTTGAAGCAGGGTCTCACTTGCCCTGTTGGTCTTGAACTTAACTCTGTAGTCCAGGCCTTGAACGTGTAATGCTCCTGTCTCAGCTTTCTAAGTAGCTAGGATTACAGGCCTGCTGTGGGATGTTCTCTATGCTGTGAATGGATTGCTATGATTGATTGATAAATTAAACGCTGATTGGCCAGTAGCTAGGCAGGAAGTATTGGCGGGACTAGCAGAGAAGAGAATTGGGGGAACAGGAAGGCAGAGTGAGGGAGACGCAGCCAGCTGCCGCCATGAGTAACAAGATGTAAGCTACCGGTAAACCCCAAGGCAAGGTATAGATTAATAGAAATGGGTTAATTTAAGATATAAGAACAGATAGCAAGAAGCCTGCCACGGCCATACAGTTTAAAAGTAATATAAGTCTCTGTGTTTACTTGGGGGACGCTAGTGAGAGAGATTTGTCCTGACCGTGGGCCAGGCAGGACCAGGAAAACTTCAGCTACACAGGCCTGCTCCAACAGGCCTGGTTGTAGTTTGCCTTATCTTACCCATGTGTCCTTAGAAGGTAACTGTGATCTGGGATGAGATAGTTGGTCCTACAGCACACAGGGAGCTCATGCCTCACAAACCCTGATGGTATGCTTGCTGGAATGCAGTATCAGCGGCTGTGCCTGGTGCTGCTTGAGAATACACAGCCAGCAGAGCCATGAACTGCACTGGTCCTGGGCCCTCAGTCAGACCTTTTCTATTTCTAGTTACGTATAGTCTTTCCTTAGTATCACATAGAGGATTGGTTCCAGAACCCCATGGATGCTAGTCTTCACAGGTGGTACTCAGATCTCTCATTCAAATGAGGTAGTGTTTGCATAGAACCAATGCATGTCTTTCCTTACATTTTATTTATTTGGGGGTTTTTAGGCAGGATCTTGCTATGTAACTCTAGATGACCTGGAACTCAATGTATAGCCCCAGGAGATCTTCCTGCTTCTACACCCAAGGGCTGGGATAACAGGTGTGTACCACTACACCTGATTTCCTACAGATTTTACTTTTCCTGTTGATTTTTAATCATTCCTAGATTTAAGATGAAGAACAACCGAACATACATTTGTATCTTGTTTAAAGAAAACAAAAGAAGCTAGGCATTGTGGCACATACTTATAATTCCCAGCACTTCGAAGGTAGAAGCACTAGGGTCAGGAGTTTAAAACCAGCCTCAACTCCAAGTTCAAGGCCAGTCCTGACTACATGGGACTGACCATCTGAAACAAAAGAACTGGGAATAGTGGTGTGTACCTGTGTGCATATAGTCCCAACACTAAGGAGGCTAAGACAGGAAGATTGATGAGTTCAAGACCAGTCCGGGTACTTGGCAGGACCATGTCTCAAAAACAACAACAAAAACCAAATTTTATCTGCACTCAGTACAATTCTTTGTTACTCTCTGAAAGGTCACGGATCTGACAGAAAAATTGGAGGAGAGGATGTACCAGGTGTACAGCCACCACAGCAAGATCATTCAGGAAAGGCTCCAAGAATTCACTCAGAAGATGGCAAAGATCAGCCTTCTGGAAATGGAGCTAAAACAAGTCTGCCATACTGTGGAAACTGTATACAAGGACCTATGTGTCCAGTCTGAGGTAAGAGTTTGGGGGTGTATCCTGTGAGGAAAGACCTGGAATGACTCAGTTGAGAGTAAATATGAACAGGAACCAGACTTCTCCTTTTCCCCTGCATTGCTGGGAATGAAATCCAGGGCACATGCCAGACAAGTGCTCTGCCACTGATAGTCACCCCAACTTTAGGAAACAGGGCTGTTACTAAGCCCTGCACTGACAGTCCTAGGCCACAGGGTTACAGTCCTTGCAAAAGCTCTTGATGCTCTGCTACCTTGCTGGGGGTCCCAAGTCACATGGTTTGGACTGGGAAACCAAACTGGTGTCCATGTTATCATTGTGTAGTTAGCTACATCATGAAGGAAAGGGCAGAGTGCCCCCTGCCAGTCAGAGACTTGTCTAGCTCCAAGTCTGACTATTCCAGAAAGGCACAATCCCAGGCATGTTCATCCCTCTTGTGAGAAACTCCCCAAACTACCTCTCTGGTTACCAGTAAACCCAGACCAACCCCAAGGAGTGAGGCACAGGCTCTTTATTTTCCTCTTTTATCTGCTCAGTGTTGGACACAGAAGGTACTGCCCCTGAGATGGAGGCAGGAAGGAAGGCACACTGTAAACTCCAGAGCACCTTCTCACAAAGTCTGCTCTACTTCACTCACTGGCTTCCGTGTCTCTCCCCGTTGTATCTCGCTCCTCCTCAGTTAGAAGAAGCTTAAAACAAGGTAGATGGGAGTCTGATCTCATTTTAAAAGGGCCGAGGGCCTACAGAGAATTGCATCTTTTTTGTATAGAGCATATCTGAACATCTTCCAGAAAGAAATTTCCATAGTCTCACATCAGTGTCTCACTTTCCACCATAAAAACTGGGTCCGTCCACCACTTGTTGAGCAGACTTGGAGCAATGCACAGTGCTGCCAGGATCTAGCCAAGCAATTTCTCTGTTGAAGGGCCCTCTGCTGAAGTGGGTTCATTTGCCAACTGTGAATGCCTGAATCCCAGTAATTGCTCTCCCGAGGATCAGAGCGTGAATGTCGTGTGTACCTGTGTGAGATGAATGTTAGAACTGGTTTGAAGTCTTCATGCCTCGTGATGCCCTAGGTCCCCACGTCAGAAGAACAGAGCTACAAAGACGGTGAGTGCTGACTGCTGCTGAGAAGCTCCCGTCTCAACGACAGTCACCAGGAGAAGGCACAGAGCCCACTCAGACATGCTGAGGTTTTTTTTTTTTAAAACAGTCCTGTAACTTAACACAAATGCCACCATATGCAATGATCTTTGTGCTAACTACCAAAGTGTGGCAAGGTTAGCCCCTGCCACAGGCCCAGCTTTAGCAAATTCACCCAACCCACACCTACAGTTGATTAAATGTTTGATTTCTACCCTGGCCTGCTTTCTTCCAGAACTGGGAAGACTGATCATCTATGCAGAAACACGGATGGTCCTTTGTTCCACCCCACCTTTAGGGACAGCAGTTTCCTTTTTATAGTTAAATGATTCCATTTACTTCCAAAGCCCACGGCTGACCCGTCTCAAATCATGCTCACATTGTAGGATCTTACCCACCTCTCCCTCTCCCTGTTTCTGGAATGTTTCTTCCTGTAGCCTGAGATAAACATTGAAGACTGTGTGACTTTCCCTTGGTTCAAAACCTCAGTCATTGAGAGAGGCAAGGAAGGTATTCCATACATTCTGCTTTTTCTGTCCAGAAGCCTCTCAGCCCATGAAGCTAGTGTCCTCATGCATGGATCACACTGGATTGTACTGCCCCCTTTTAAATATTGGTGAAAAATGTGCAAGTGTAGGTGCACATGCCATGACACATTTGGAGGCTAGCAGACAACTCAGGTCTTGGGCCTTATTTGAGATGGGATTTTTGTTGTTCACTAGTGTGTACCCAGGCTGGCTGGTCTGAGAACTTCCACCAGGGATTCATGCCTCAGTTTCACATGGGTTACAGACACAGGCTACTGTGCTGGTTCTTAAGGGCTCTAGACTTAAACTCAGGTTCTCATGCTTTTATGGCAACTGTTGTGCCCACTGAACCATTCCTACAGCCCTCTTTTTTGTTTCTTTCAATATCATTTTTCATTTTTTTTTTTAAAGATTTATTTATCATGTATACAGTGTTCTGCCTACATGTGTCCCTGCACGCCAGAAGAGGGCACCAGATCTCGTTACAGATGGTTGGGAGCCACCACGTGGTTGCTGGGAATTGAACTCAGGTCCTCTGGAAGAACAGCCAGTGCTCTTAACTGCTGAGCCATTTCCCCAGCTCTTTTCATGTCCTTTTCCAAGTTTGTCCTAAGCCATGGGTACATGCCCTGTGACTCTTACAGTCTACTAACAGCTTTTTTTCCCCTCTGAACATGAAGTAGTGATATAATTACTGTGCCCTGTTCTCTTCTTCACACCCACCTACCCACCAAGAACCATGCCTCTCTCTTGGAACTGTGTCTCCCTCCATGTCCCATCCCACAATGAGAACAAGGGCCAGGAGTCTCTCACATGGTCTGCTCATCAGAACCTCTGAAGTCATACAGTGCACTCCCTTATAAATTTATTTATAACCTCTGTTCAGTTCACAACCTCTGAACAACTAACACCAGGTGAGGGACAGAGGGGTAGGGCTTGATAGTCACCTGGTGACAGCTGGAAGACTTAGCTGTGCTATCCCGGTTCCTTACTGCTATCTCCCTACCCAGACCACTGTGACACCCTCCTCCCCAAGCCCAGGGTCCAGCACTGACCTTCGTAAGTGTTTACTGCCTCCAGATTCATAGCATGCCGAATCACATGGTACTCATCAGAAATCCCATTTCCTCCTAGGATGTCTCGTGCCTGGCGGGCAATGTCCAGGGCTTTCCCACAGTTGTTTCTCTTCAGCAGGGAGACCATTTCTGGGGTAGCCCTGGGAGTGGCACATATGTTATAAACACTGGGTCTCATGCCCTGACCGCACCCAGCAGATGGAGCACATGTCCACCCGGTAAGGCTGTCCCCGATCTGCCCATAAAAACAGAGGGAAAGAAGCTTGTGTCCCTGGGGCCACCATCTGGGAAGGGCCTCAGAAAGGGCCCAGGACTCAATCACAGTGTATATGTAATCCCTACTTGTCCTGATCCTTTAAACGGCCAAGCTGCAAACACGCATGGAGGCCCAGTGTGATCTCGGTGAGCATGTCCGCCAGCTTCTTCTGAACCAGCTGGTTCCTGGCCAAGGGGACGCCAAACTGGATCCTAGAACAGGCAAGGTCAAGTAAGGGTCTGTAGTTCAAGAGGCTTCCCAGTTCATGGGAAGCTCAACATTTAACTGCTCAGGATATCCCAAGCCATCTCATAGAACTTAAACTTGGTGGTTCCTGGGGAAGACACTGTTGGAGTACAAGGTGAACTCCAAGACCCTCCACACCCATCATGTGTTACAGCAGCCCCACACACCTGTCCAGGGCATATTGCCGGGCTGTGTGCAAACAGAACTCAGCAGCTCCCAACACACCCCATGTGATGCCATATCGGGCAGTGTTAAGGCAGCCAAAAGGACCCTATAAGATTGACAAGAGGTCTCAGTCAGCTGAAGGCCTGGGAAGAACCAACTGTGAAGCAAGAAAATCTATCTCCCAAATGCCCCAGACAAGGGGATCTGCATTTAAATCACATAGGGTGCGCACACCAAAACTTGGGTGCGGCAAGCCTTGTTCAGTGCCTCTCCACTCTGTGCATGCAGTCCTGTATATAGCATGGGACCTGACCTCAGTGCTCCGATGCAATAAGCTGGCAGGAGACAGGAAGCTGCTCATATAAGCAGAGTAGAAATTGGTCCAGGGCCATATGCATCTTGGGCAGAGCCAATGAGCAAGGGGGTAACCCAAAAGGAACAATTAGCCCATCCATGAACAGGGAGCATCACAGACTCCACAATGTTCCACAAGCACAAGGACCATGTATGTTAGCTCTCCTCTTGAAAAGGTGAGAAAGATGAGCCAGCAGGTGACCCCCACCAGTTCCCAAGGTGTCTACCACATACCGCCAGGCTGGACACATTAGGGAGCACATTCTCCTCGGGCACCTCCACATTGTCCATGATGATCATACCAGTAGATGAGGCCCGCAAGGAGAACTTTCCCTCAATCCTAGGGGCTGAGAGGCCCCGCATTCCTTTCTCCAGCAGAAAGCCCCGTATACAGTTATCCTCACACCGAGCCCACACTACAAACAGGTCAGCCACGGGCGAGTTGGTGATCCTGGGGGCCAGAAAGTTATGGAGGGATCTGGCTGATATCCCTCACACACCTTCTCATCCACCACCACCTGGGCCCCTCACCAGGTCTTGGTCCCATTGAGAGTGTAGCTCTGGTTTGATGGATTGTGGCAAGCTCTGGTCTCCATGCCACCTGGGTCACTCCCATGGTTGGGCTCTGTAAGCCCAAAGCAGCCCAGAAGTTCACCCTTGGCTGCAAGCACAAGACAGGATCATAAGGCTACCAGTCTCACTCATCGGATAAATTATCTTCACCACTGAGCCAGGTCTGTAACCAAGGCAGATAACACTGCCATCATTGCGCTCTGTGAGCTGAGGAAATGGTCCAGGCCATAATCACAATGGCATAATGTGAAGGAGGTCAGGAAGGAAGGGGTTGGCAAAAGTGTCTTGGAGGGCACTAAGGTTTAGCTGAAGGAGGGCATGAAGGTTGGGTTTTTTTCCCTGTTTCTTTTGTTTTTTAGAAGGTCTCAGTATATAGCCCTGGCTGGCCCAGAACTAACAGAGGTCTACCTGCCTCTGCCTCTGGAGTGCTGGGATTAGAGGCCTGTGCCACCACACCCAGCCTGAAGGAGGGTATGAGGAAGAGTAATCACCAAGGTGGTTATTTGGAGAATCCCTAGTAGATGAGCAATCAGAGGAAGAGTGGCCAGAGGGATGAGCATGGTCGTGCATGGCCTTTAATCCTAGCTCTTCTCTTTCTTTCCCTCGGGGCCAAAGGTAGACCTGAGTTTGAGGCCAGCCTGGTCTACAAAGTTGCAAGCCAAACAGGGCTATATAGTGAGACCCTATCTACAAATAAAATGTTAGTGGCCAGAGAAGTAGAGGAAAGGTCTCAGCGGCCTGCTTATGGGCTTCATGGACCTGGTTAGCAGTTAAGACTTTCAACTTTGGACTGGGATGAGGAGCCCAGAAAACAAATCCAAGAGGAGATGATGGTGGCCAGGGGTGAAGTCAAAGGGGAGGGGAGGAGAAGGCTGACAGACGGCACGGGATCAAGACTGGCAACGGAGCCCTAGGGCCTGACAAGTGGTCTGTAGGAAATAAGGCAGGCTATGGGGACACTGGGATCTGCATTCCAGACCACAGTTTGACTTCCCTCGACCAGGCAGCGGCTGCTTACCCAGCCGGGGCAGATACTTCTGTCGCTGCTGCTCGCTCCCATAGGTATAGATAGGGTGCATGACGAGGGAGGACTGAACACTCATCATTGACCTGTAGCCGCTGTCCACCCTCTCCAGCTCTCGGGTCAGGAGACCATAGGCCACTGATGACACTCCAGCACAGCCATACCCTGGTGTAGAAGAGGATCAGGTAGATCAAAGACGACCAAAGTTCAGCCCAGCTGGGACCAGGGACTGAGGAGGGGCTATACTGGGGCCCTTCTGGAAGTGGGCCTGGGGCTGCCCTCGCTGGGACTTTCCACTGCCCATTTTACGGAGAGAAAGTGGTGGCTTTTCAGGATGTTGGGAGTAAGGACTGCAGAGCATACACAGAAATGTCCTTACCTTTGATGGTGGGTCCCAGCACGCCCAGCTCCCCCATCTCATGCACGATGTCCCGGTGAAAAACTGCAGAGGTGGGTGCCAGAGTCAGGCCCTGTCTCAGCTTGATGGAGTCCCTGACTCTAGGGACAGAGCTGGGGTGTGTGCACTGAAGCTGGTGCAGATCCTGTGTGGTTGAGGAGCCCAGGGTGCCCACCCGACACCAGGGCACCTTCATTTCGATTGGCCAGCAGAATTCGAGGCATAAGCCTCTCCTGGCAGTAGTTGCGGAAGGTATCCCTGATGAGTTTCTCATCGGCGGTCAGCTGCTCCTCCAGCACCAGTGGGTCCCTCCAGTCAAACCCAGGACGAGAGGCTGGGTGGGGCGTGGGATTCGAATCAGCCAGACCCCGCCGCCTCTTCTGGATTTCTAAGCTGCACCTTTTCTCCCCATATCGCTCCAGGTGAATCCTGGCTTCAAAACAGTCCGACAAACACAACCCTTCTCTAGCCCAATAGAAACAAATACCTTAGCCCTTCTGACCCTGGGCACAACCCAGCCTCCCTTCAAAGCAGTCCTTGCAATCACAGACAGAGACCACCAAGGGTCAAGACAACAGCTGGACCGGGGGTAGGTGGGAAGGTGGATCTTACATTTGGCCGATCGACTCTGTGTTTTCTCTGCAAACACAGGATGAGAAAGACACACTGAGAAAGTGTCCTTGTGTCTCCCTGCCGACCCCATCCCGGGCCTCCCCCACCCCCACCCGCACTGACCGGTGTGTGCCGCCGCCGAGCTCCACGTACGCGGGACACATGGGAAGTGCAGGCCGGGCCTGCGGCTCAGTAGCCACGCGGAGACTCCTCTCAAAGCCATGTATATAGCCGGCGAGCGTCGCAGCGAACGCCACCTGGAAAAGCCGGGCGTCAACGGAGCCCAGCTTTCTCCCTCCCAGTACCCTGCTTACCTGGTGCCTGCAGGCTGTGCTCAGGACCTGCGCACTTGACCTCGGCCTGATAGGGGTTGCTCATTGGTTCCGCCCAGAACACCCCCCCTCCTCCGTGGCTCTGCCTTTTAAAAGGGCCAAGGTAGCAGCCTGGCTTTGGAAGCGGGCTCTTCCCTGCCTAGGCACGTAATCCCTTTAAGAATCCAAACAAGGAAGGGGCGGAAAACGAGTGCACAAGCCCAATTGGCCGACTGTATTTCTGCTCCGCCCACCCCAGGCTAGCCAGTTGCCAAGGGCCTGAGGGGCGGGATCCCAAAGTTCAATAAGGAAGTCTCAGAGCCCAGACCTTGAGAAATCCGCAAATGGTGTGCGCGAGGAGAGAGAGGTGGGCGGCTAGTGGGTGATCTCAGCCAATGCCGTCTGCCGGTCTATCCAACTTGTTTGTGTGTACTCTGTGAGTGGGCGTGATCTCGTGTGCCAGAGTAACTGCATTTCTGTGAATGCTGCTTGTATGTGTGCGGTTTTCCTGCTTGCTAGATGTTTGTGTAGAATAATCTAGACTATGTTGTAACTGGTGTCTTGGATATTATTATTTCTATTGGAATATGCTCTGTTTTGAACAGAGTAAGACAAGAATAGAAAAAAAGAAAAATGTAACTGTAAACCTCTCCTGAGAAATGGTAACTGCTTATCCCGTCAAAACAGCCGCCTTACTATAGTCCTTCCAAAGGAGAATGGCCATGTCTGAGCCTAGCCCACAAAACTGACCAATCCCTGGGCAGGAAAAAACAACTAACCAATCCCTGGGTGACTCCCCCCCTCCTCCAAGAGTTCCTATATAAACCGCCCTGCCTGGTCAGTTGGTGGCCGTTATCTCCACTCTGGTAGAGGCAGTCACTCTCCTGGACTCCTCCTCCCCAAATCTCTTTCTCAAAAGAGCTTTGGGTGTGAAGATCTATTTTTCTCCACCTGGTCCCACCTCCACTTGTAGCGGCAAAGTGTTGAGAGATGAAATGTTTTTCTGACCCCCAAGCATTGAAGGCTAAGGGATTCTGTCAAACAGACTAAGAAAGGGTAGAGGTGCTGGACTCACTTACCTTCTCTGCTGTATGAGATTTCCAAACACACAAGGTAAGAAAGATCAGCATGCTAACTAACTACATAAGTAAGTATGACCAGGGGTCGGATCCATCGCCTCCAGTTATTCAGATTACACACGCTGGGCATTTTCATAAACAAATTAGCTTACGACAGCCAAGAAAACAAACCAAACCGAGATTTTGGCACTTTCTCTTCTATGGTTGTTTTCTCTTCTGGCTCTCTATAGAGAAAAATGACCAGCGGCTGGCGCCGCGTCCTCAGGTCGCGCTGTGGTTGCGGCTCCGCAGCGGCGGCCGCTCGGGATGCTCGCAGGTACGGGCTGCATGCTAGTCGGACAACTGGCATGCACCCGGTGCCGCCGTGGTGGGTCGGCGCCTCGCCTGGGGGTCGCCTAGAGTCTCGGCTGCATCATGGCCCCGAGGACAGCCGGGGGGACCTGGGGACCTGGGCGCTCGTCTGCCCTGCAGCTGGAAGCCGTCCGGTTCCCCCCTCCTGCTCTGGAGTCCCCGCCCCCGGAAGACCTGGGCCGCGATTTCCCCACTCACGCTTTCTGCACTAGGGGAAAACTCATCTTTAAAAGAAATGAGTCTAATCCCAGCACTCGGGAGGCAGAGCCAGGCGGATCTCTGTGAGTTCGAGGCCAGCCTGGGCTACCAAGTGAGTTCCAGGAGAGGCGCAAAGCTACACAGAGAAACCCTGTCTCGAAAAAACCAAAAAAAAAATAAAAAATAAAAAAATAAAAAATAAAAAAAAAATAAAAGAAATGAGTCCGCTTCCGTTTCCGGTCAGATGCTTAAAGCCAATGACCTAGGTGAGATTCAAGCTAGGCCAACCCTGTCCGGTGACATCAGACTTTCATGATTGGGCAGCTACGGAGGAGGGCGTGACTGTAACCAAGGTTACCGAAGGGCGTGGTGGGAGGGATGCCGAGGAGGGTAGTGGAGAGGACTGTTGGCTTCGCTAATTTGGCTGGTCTTAGTGGATCCTGAGGAGGATTCCGGAAGCTGTAGGGACTGGGGACGTTTCAGAAACACGTGCTGCATTCTTGAGACTTTGTTCTATCTAAAGGAAAGCCTTAGTGAGGGACCGTCACTGGGGAGCAGAACTTGAGACAGGCTTTTTTCTGAGAAGGCTCCCAGGTTGTCTTTAGGGATGGAATTAGAAACTGGCTGCAAAAACACAGAATAGGAAACCTTCACTTAGATTTCAGTCAGTTGCTAGAGTTTAGAGCCCTAAGGAGGGATTTCTCAGCACAATTTCTGAACCCAGTATAAGAATCATTCTGAAAAATAGCTTATTTGGAAGTAATTGTCAATATGAAATGTTCAATGGTACTTTTATTAAAAAGTCTTACTAGCCGGGCGGTGGTGGCACACGCCTTTAATCCCAGCACTCAGGAAGCAGAGGCAGGCGGGTCTCTGTGAGTCAAGGCAAGCCTGGTCTACAGAGGGAGTTCCAGGACAGCCAAGGATATACAAAGAAACCCTGTCTCAAAAAAAAAAAAAAAAAAGACAAAAGAAAAGAGGAAAAGAGGAAGCTATGTAAGAGTTTCAGAAAATGGTATTGCATCTATTGAAATGCAGGTAATTGAAGTATAGTTATGTAAACTATATGGCACATAATTATGATTATGATTAAATTAACCTTAATTTTATATTTACATTTTCAGTCCAGAGCATTACATTCATGCAGTGATAAGCAGCACTGATTTTTTTTTCAAATGTCCATCCTCCTGAGAAATGCAAGTGTTCAGCTGAAGTTGTTACCTACTGTTTGAATATGACACCTTAACAGTTTAAAAAAGCCAAAGCGTAGGAAATGTAAATGTTATTTGTGATATATAAAACATACACAAATATGTATATACTAACATGTGCGTATTAGTATTATACATATGTGTATATTATGTATAGTATTTATATCTGGTTTTGGCCTATCTTGGAATTTTTCCAACATTTTGAACTGTCCAGATCTTGAGCCTACACACAAAGAGGATTGTGGCAGCTTTAAGAATCCTTTGACTGGTTAGGGGGCTCCTTCTGCCCTTCTGGGATATCAATAATGACATCTTCAGATAGCTTGGCCTCAGAACGTGTATCCTATGAAGCAACTGTGTCTTCCAAGTCTTGATGTTAGCCTGTATCAGGAGGTTCCTGCTCTTCTGGGACATCAATCACAATGTCTTCACATGACTTGGATGCAGCAGCTGCATTCTGTGAAGTATCGTGTGTCCAAAGCCCTGATACTGGTCCTGGGGCAAGTGAGGATGGCTTTGAACCTGCAGATACTGCATCTTGTGATGATCAGGAAAGCAAACTTGTGTGTTCAGAATGTTCCGAGTCTTCAGGAAAACTTTTTTTTTTCTGGATAACATTTCATTGTTCTCCCTTTAAGATAATATATAAGTTTATTAGTCAGGGGGCTCCTTCTGCTCTTCTGGGATATTAATCATTACATCTTCACATAGCTTGGCCTCAGAAAGTGCATCCTGTGAAGTATCTGTGTCTTCTAAGTCTTGATGTTGGCCTTTATCAGCAAGTTCCTGTTCTGCTTTGATATCAATGACAAAGTCATCATCACATGACTTGGAGGCAGCGGCTGTATTCTCTGAAGTAATCAAGTGTGCAGATCTTAACTGTTGCTTTGGCCCAGGTGTGAGGATGGCTTTGAACCTGGATAAACTGTATGACCTTGGTGTTCGGTATGTTCCGGGTCTTCAGGAAGACATTTTTTTTTTTTTTTTTCTGATCCCCTCTCATTTTTCTCCCTTTAAGACAATATAAATTTATTAGCCAAAAGTTATTTTTACCATTCTAAAAATAGTTCTGCTCTTTGTCCTCCCCAAATTTGAAGAGCCTGTATCATGGTACTGCTTTAAGTATGTTCTTATTTCTTAAATTACTAGAGTAAATCTTATGTATTTGGGTTGGGGTGATACCTCAGTCTGCAAAGTGCTTGCCACACAAAAATGAGGACCTGAGTTCAGTCCTCAGCAGAGGTCCAAAGCTGGGCATGCTTGCAGTCCTGTGCTAGCGAGACAGAGTTGGATCCCTGGGGCCCTCTGGACAGCGATCCTAGCTCAATCTGTGAGCCTCAGGACAGTGAGAGACCCTGTTCCAAAACCCAAACTGAACAGCTCCTGAGGGGCCACCTCTGACCTTTCCTGCACATGCAGACACTCCCCCCCCACACACACACTCACACTAACAGAAGTTAAACAGCTGTTACTTACCCAGGCGTCTTACTTGTTGGGAAATATCTTCTCTGACATCAGATACATCCCACATGGCCAGAAAAGAATCAAAGCAAGAGCCTTCCTCTGCCTCTTGCACGTAGGGTTTGTAGGAGAATACATGGTAATGGGCAATGGCCACAAGGAACATTTCAAGGCATATTATGAAATCCTACAACAGCCACAAAAATATTTATCATCTTTGGCTTTAAATCTAGTTTTTCAAAATGCTAACATTTTCAAAGTTATATAGGGTGTCAACTTTTAAAATATAATCCAGATTATATTCATATTTCAACATTTTTTCCACTTCAAAACACGACAAACCAAGGTTTACATCTCTTTTGCCCTCCCTCAGTCAAGTATTTCTTAATCTGTTCCCCAAGGACTGAAAGGAAACATGCAGATATATGTAGACCAGGAATAAAACCATTACCAATCAGGACCTATGGGCCATTTCTCTAGGGCTCCCGCTCCTCACCATAGAGCAAGCTAACAGTCTTGCTCACTGTTTGGATATTTGGGGCAACACTGTGTCAAACAGCTTAAACAGTAAAACCTCTTGAGTTCACTGACAGCACTACTTACCTGCAGGCCCGTGGTCACAGCTTCCGCCGCACTCTGCCATTCCCACGTATGCTTTTCCGAAATAAAGCCAACATTGACCAATACTGCTAAGAGGACTGCTTGCCTGTATGTCAAGAAAAGGTAAATGTCAAATCTAGATCATGAAATGACCAACGGTTTATGGAATTAGGGGCTCGGGAGGGGGCTCGGTGTGTAAAGCACTTGCTGCACAAGTGTGAGGACCTGAGTTAAAGTCACAGAAGCCAGGGAAGGCTGGCATGGTGGTGCACATCTGTAAACCCTGTGCTCCTGCAGTGAGAGGTGGGTTAAGAGAACCCTGGGAAGACTGCAGGCTGGTGATCCTGATGTGTGCAGAGTAACAGTTAAGAGACCCCATCTCAAATGAAAGGCGAGGACCGATACCCAAAGCTGTCCTCATTTCCACATGCACACATGGCATGGACACGTCGCCACTCACACAATAAACACATACATATCATATACACAAAGAGATTAAAATGTTCTGCCTCCCGAGTGCTGGGATTAAAGGCGTGCGCCACCACCGCCTGGCAAGGCTTACTTCTTATGATTGGTGTGGCAGGGTGCCAGAGAACAGCTTTGTGGAGTTGGTTCTCTACTTCCACCTTTACAGGGGTCCTGGGGATTAAACTCAGTTCATTAGGCATGCATAGCAAGTGCCTTTCCCCAGAGAGCTAGCCTGCCAGCACACAGCATATCTGCATTATAATACCATCGAGTCCCAGAAGTCTCTATAGCATATGATGTATGCCTTCAACTGCTAATGATTACTTCTGGCAGTGCTGCAATTTCATGAATTCCTTCTCCTTTGCCCTTACTGAATTGCTAAACTGGATCTGACTGTTTCTATAACTCTTAGTACCTATCCTGTCCTAACACCATGACTAGTTTGCTGTTTGCTTTGTGACATTGAGGACAGACAGTAGGGCAGTGGATACACCAGGCAGACACTCTGATGGATCTCCAGCCCTACCTTGTGTTTTAAAGGACACTCACTGATAAACATTTCCCTGTCATTATTTTCTCCCAAATTGATACTGTTTTAGTTATGACAGATTTTAAGTAATTTATTCATTTTGAGACAGGGTCTCACTATGTAGCTGACTGGCCTCAAACTTGCTATGTAGACCCTGCTAGCCTTGAACTCATAGAGAGTCACCTGCTTCTGCCTCCCTGGGGAGTGCTGGGATTAAAGGTATACACCACCACACCAACATCAAGATATTTAGGCTATCTCAAATTATCTTCATCTTTTAAATGTCACAGTGGCCATCTGACGACTTCTTTGATTGTTCAGATACAAGATAACACAATGTGGCATAGGCTGCTCCACAACTTGCTTTATAGAGCAGGCTGTCCTCAAACTCACAATGTGAGATTCTCTTGCCTGGCCTTAAATCTGGGATTACAGGTATGTACCACCACACATGACTAAGATTATTTGTTTTTTTTTTTTATCTTTTTAAAACTATTTAATATTTATTTTAATGTGCATGCGTTTTGCCTGCATGTATGTATATGATGCATGTGCAGTATCTGCAGATACTAGAAGAGGGCATTAGAACCACCTGGATCTGAAGTTACAGAAGGTTGTGAGCCACTAATCGTGTTAGTGTTGGGTCCTGAGCAAGAGTAGCAAAGCGCTCTTGTCTGCTGAGCCATCTCACCATCCCTGTTTTTGTAAATCTTACAAAAGCTGAAGGGATGGCTTTTTAAAAAGATGTCCTTGTGTGTGTGTCTGACCGCAAGTATGTGCATATGCTCACAGAGGCCAGAGGAGGACTTCAGACCCCTTGGAGCTAGAGTTACATGAGGTTGTGAGCCGCCAGACATGGGTGCTGGGGACCAAACTGCGCGGTCCACTGGATATGCAGCACACTCTCTTAACTGCTGAGCCTCTCTCCAGCCCCAAAGACACCTTCCTAGTTCAGGCTGGCCTTGAATGGTAGTCCTGCCTCAGTCTTCCAAGAGCTGGGATTACAGACAGGCACCACTGAGCCTGGCATTGTATTCACATTATTTAAAAAACTCCCTTAACCAACAGTTTTATTGGCATTTATAAAATGAGAATATTTAGCCGGGCAGTGGTGGTGAAGCACGCCTCTAGTCCCAGCACTCGGGAGGCAGAGGCAGGTGGATCTCTGTGAGTTCCACGCCAGCCTGGGCTACAGAGTTAGTTCCAGAAAAGGCGCAAAGCTACACAGAGAAACTCTGTTTCGAAAAACCAAAAAAAAAATAAAAGAAAAGAAAAGAAAGAGAGAGAGAGAGAGAGAGAGAGAGAGAGAGAGAGAGAGAGAATATTTAAGAGCAGTACTTACAAGAATGAGGGAAAGACTATGAGTTTGACACAAAGAAATTTGCCAACGGGTTTTATAGGGCTGAGCTCTTCCTTCAGCACGTTGTAAAACAGCACGAGGCAGTACATGGCAAACTAGAAACAAAAGCCACATTCAACATTCTGCAGTAGGAAGACAGTGACAGAACCATTCGTTAAAGCCGAAACCAGAGTCTACAGTAATGTTCCCGGCAGAGCTTAGGGCTAATCAGCAGACGTTTTAGTGCTTTTAATAATATGTTGCAGAAGATGCATATCTGTGAGATCTCAAGAGAGGTATGTCACATTTTTCCTGAATATGTTTCTAAGTGTTCACGTACTGGAACTCAAAGCAATAAACAAATGATATGATCGAAAGGTTTCCTTCAGTCAAAAAAAAGGCAACACAAATTACCACCACGTTTATAAATACTACTTGATTATTATTATTAGCTAGTCTCTCATGTAACATTTACACAACACACACAGTTTATAAGGCAACACGTTAAATAAGCACAGTTTCAATATAACTGTGATCATGAAATCTGCATCACACAAACCGATTTCCTTGAGAGCAGTGTGTATGTAAGTCCAGCTGGCCTTACTTCTTAAAATAAGTGCTCACATCTTAGAGTCAGTTATAATAACCAACCAGCATTTCAACAGCAAGAAGCATTTCTGGAAGCTTACTTTCCCCATTAAGACCAGGAGATACTTTATGCTCATTTAAAATACTTCAGGATATGAGAGCAGTAAAGCAAGAACCAAGCTCAGACCCTTGCACTGGAGCAGGACCACCCAGGGTGCATGTCACACACTCCCGAGCCCTGGGTTCTAGCTCTAGTACCATTAAAAACAAACATACTCTTAGCACTGCGCCATTTCTCTGTACATAGGAACTGTGACCCTCATGCTGGGATCTGACCCAGGGCTGTGTGATAGGCAAACACTCCAGGCACATTCCACAGTCATAACCCAATTTTCTAATATCTGTCATGAACTAAAATGAAATTTTGTTCCCCAATATCTTTTTCAACTGAAAGTAGCTAACTTTTGTGTATGTTTCATAAGTTTTACTTTTAGTATCTGTCTAAATGCCAATGGGAAGACCAAACTATGTCCACCGGGTTTAGAGTGTTTCCAGTCCTTTCTTATAATGGGCATTACATCCCAGAAGGCAAAAACACTTCTACCATTTCTTTAGAGTACATTCCCAGAAAAAAGACTGCTGGTCATGGAGATGAACATGAGAGAAAGCTCTGGAGACAGACCCCATTTATTTCCGTTATAAACTTCTTCCTTCCTTCCTTCCCTCTCTTCCTCTTTCTCTTTTTCCTTTCTCCTCTCTCTCTCTCTCTCCCTCCCCCCTCCCTCCTTCCCCTCCCTCCCTCCCTCCCTCCTCTCTCTCTCTCTCTCTCTCTCTCTCTCTCTCTCTCTTTCTTTCTTTCTTTCTTTCTTTCTTTCTTTCTTTCGTGTTTTGAGACAAGGTTTCTCTGTATAGCCCTGGCTGTCCTGGAACTCACTTTGTAGACCAGGCTGGCCTCAAACTCAGAGATCTGCCTGCCTCTGCCTCCCAAATGCTGGGATTAAAGGTGTGCACCACCACTGCCTGGTGAACTCTTCCGTTTTTATTTAAACTCTATTCTCTCATGCCAATTAGACTTTTTCCTCTCACTGAATAGGCCGATTGCATTATGTTTTGTTTATTTAGAAGGCACACCATGCTTATCCCCACAAGGCTGTGGGGTCACAAGAGCAAACAGCTCTGCACGTAAGTCACCATATCATTCATGAACATATTACTGTACTTCTATATTGTATAAAGGTATACATTAAAGCTGTTTCAAGTTCCATGTACAAAGTAAAAGGTAATTTTTTTCTCAAGAGATAGTGTCTGATAATATTTAGCAACAGAAACAAATTTAGTACAATTAAGAAGAATGATGATTTACGTACTAGTTGTGACAAATAATTTATTATAACCAAGTAAGTCCTTGCATTGGCTAAACCAAATTTCCCTTCATCGTAGACACCAACCATCTCACATACCCTTAAAAATGGCAAAAATCAACTTTATGACTGACCAAGTAAACCCGTATCTTAATATGTACCCTTTAGAGACTTATTTTATGCATATGAATGTTTTACCTGCATGTCTACTGTGCACAATGTGCATGCAATGCCCTTGGTGACCAGAAGAGGGCACTGGATACTCTGGAACTAGATTTCACTAAACCTCTGCAAGTGTTCTCCAGCCCTGAACACGTTCTTAAGGTGTAGTGGTAGCAACACTTAAAATTTAGAGTCCGTTTACTTCAGCAAATCTATGGAAAATTACTTGACTTTGGTCACTGTTGCTAGAGTTTCCCTGCCTGGCCCACAGTCAGGACAAATCTCTCTCACCCGCCAGTCCCACAGCCACTCAGACCCAACCAAGTAAACACAGAGACTTATATATTGGTTACAAACTGTATGGCCGTGGCAGGCTTCTTGCTAACTGTTCTTACAGCTTAAATTAACCCATTTCTATAAATCTACACCTTGCCACGTGGCTCGTGGCTTACCGGCATCTTCACATGCTGTTTCTCATCGTGGCTGGCAGTGTCTCTCTGACTCAGCCTTCCACTTCCCAGCTTTATTCTCCTCCTTGTCCCGCCTACACTTCCTGCCTAGCCAATAGCCAATCAGTGTTTTATTTATTGACCAATCAGCAACACATTTGCCATACAGAACATCCCACAGCAGGTCACTAACAGAGAAACATTTTTCTAGATATGTATGATATGATTATTCCTTTTTTTTTTTTAAATGTATACAGTGTTCTGGCTGGATATATGCCTGCATTCCAGAGGAGGGCACCAGATCTCATTACAGTTGGTTGTGAGCCACCATGTGGTTGCTGAGAATTGAACTCAGAACCTTTGGAAGAGCAGCCAGTGCTCTTAAACTCTGAGCCATCTCTCCAGCCCATGATTATTCCTTTTAACTTAAAGAAATTATAAACTGAGAACCATTAATCTAGAGAATAATCATCAAGTTAAAAAAAAAACAAGGCCTAATTTTGGAAAACTTGACTGATAATTATTCACTAAAGGTCATCTTTTCCTGTAAATTGCAGGTAGGTATCTGAAGACCCAGATACCCCCACTCCGCATGTAAATTTTACCATAAGTATTAAGTTATATGCTAACCCAGTTTCTAAGCAGCAAGGAAATAAAGCATAATTTCATAAATAATGAATTTATAAATTCTAGCTCAAAGGCTAGTAAAAAGTTAAACTTTTTTTTTAAACATGGTTTTCTTTTATAAATTGATATTTTGGATTTTTTAGGGGGCAGTTTCCCAGGTAGTTTATGTTTCATATTTTGACATCAAATGTTTTTTGTGTGTTTATTTTGAGTCTTGGTCTCTCTATGTAGACCAGGCTGCCTCAAACTCACAGAGATCTGCTTCCCTCTACCTCTTCAGTGCTGAGATTAAAGGTGGCACTAGTTAAAGACAGGGTTCCTAATAAACTCTTAACAAGGTAGAAAATAAATCTGTGTGGTTAACTCAACTGAAGGAGTTTTTTGTTTTTCTGATATGTTGTACAGTCTGCTCTCAAAAGGATGTGAATCTCGTGGCAATCCTGTAGGGAAAAGGGGCTGGCTAAAGAAACCCACCCTGACCCTGGAGCTCATAGCCAGGGAAAGAAACACACACAGCCTGGGTCTGGGAACTGAACCAGAGAAATGAACACTTTATCCCCAAACCCAGAAACAAGGAAATATGCCCTGACTCTGAAACCAGTACCAAAGAAACACTCTTGGTCCCTAGAATCAGAGTCAGTGAAAGAAATGTGCCCTGGCCTTAGAATTAGTGTTTGAAAAAAAAGGCCAGTGAAAGAAACACAGTTTGGCTCTGAAATCTGGGCCATGTCTGATCCTAGCCCACAAAACTGACCAATCCCTGGGCAGGAAAAAAAAAAAACAACTAACCAATCCCTGGGTGACTCCCCCCCTCCTCCAAGAGATCCTATATAAACCGCCCTGCCTGGTCAGTTGGTGGCCGTTATCTCCACTCTGGTAGAGGCAGTCACTCTCCTGGACTCCTCCTCCCCAAATCTCTTTCTCAAAAGAGCTTTGGGTGTGAAGATCTATTTTTCTCCACCTGGTCCCACCTCCACTTGTAGCGGCAAAGTGTTGAGAGATGAAATGTTTTTCTGACCCCCAAGCATTGAAGGCTAAGGGATTCTGTCAAACAGACTAAGAAAGGGTAGAGGTGCTGGACTCACTTACCTTCTCTGCTGTATGAGATTTCCAAACACACAAGGTAAGAAAGATCAGCATGCTAACTAACTACATAAGTAAGTATGACCAGGGGTCGGATCCATCGCCTCCAGTTATTCAGATTACACACGCTGGGCATTTTCATAAACAAATTAGCTTACGACAGCCAAGAAAACAAACCAAACCGAGATTTTGGCACTTTCTCTTCTATGGTTGTTTTCTCTTCTGGCTCTCTATAGAGAAAAATGACCAGCGGCTGGCGCCGCGTCCTCAGGTCGCGCTGTGGTTGCGGCTCCGCAGCGGCGGCCGCTCGGGATGCTCGCAGGTACGGGCTGCATGCTAGTCGGACAACTGGCATGCACCCGGTGCCGCCGTGGTGGGTCGGCGCCTCGCCTGGGGGTCGCCTAGAGTCTCGGCTGCATCATGGCCCCGAGGACAGCCGGGGGGACCTGGGGACCTGGGCGCTCGTCTGCCCTGCAGCTGGAAGCCGTCCGGTTCCCCCCTCCTGCTCTGGAGTCCCCGCCCCCGGAAGACCTGGGCCGCGATTTCCCCACTCACGCTTTCTGCACTAGGGGAAAACTCATCTTTAAAAGAAATGAGTCTAATCCCAGCACTCGGGAGGCAGAGCCAGGCGGATCTCTGTGAGTTCGAGGCCAGCCTGGGCTACCAAGTGAGTTCCAGGAGAGGCGCAAAGCTACACAGAGAAACCCTGTCTCGAAAAAACCAAAAAAAAAATAAAAAATAAAAAAATAAAAAATAAAAAAAAAATAAAAGAAATGAGTCCGCTTCCGTTTCCGGTCAGATGCTTAAAGCCAATGACCTAGGTGAGATTCAAGCTAGGCCAACCCTGTCCGGTGACATCAGACTTTCATGATTGGGCAGCTACGGAGGAGGGCGTGACTGTAACCAAGGTTACCGAAGGGCGTGGTGGGAGGGATGCCGAGGAGGGTAGTGGAGAGGACTGTTGGCTTCGCTAATTTGGCTGGTCTTAGTGGATCCTGAGGAGGATTCCGGAAGCTGTAGGGACTGGGGACGTTTCAGAAACACGTGCTGCATTCTTGAGACTTTGTTCTATCTAAAGGAAAGCCTTAGTGAGGGACCGTCACTGGGGAGCAGAACTTGAGACAGGCTTTTTTCTGAGAAGGCTCCCAGGTTGTCTTTAGGGATGGAATTAGAAACTGGCTGCAAAAACACAGAATAGGAAACCTTCACTTAGATTTCAGTCAGTTGCTAGAGTTTAGAGCCCTAAGGAGGGATTTCTCAGCACAATTTCTGAACCCAGTATAAGAATCATTCTGAAAAATAGCTTATTTGGAAGTAATTGTCAATATGAAATGTTCAATGGTACTTTTATTAAAAAGTCTTACTAGCCGGGCGGTGGTGGCACACGCCTTTAATCCCAGCACTCAGGAAGCAGAGGCAGGCGGGTCTCTGTGAGTCAAGGCAAGCCTGGTCTACAGAGGGAGTTCCAGGACAGCCAAGGATATACAAAGAAACCCTGTCTCAAAAAAAAAAAAAAAAAGACAAAAGAAAAGAGGAAAAGAGGAAGCTATGTAAGAGTTTCAGAAAATGGTATTGCATCTATTGAAATGCAGGTAATTGAAGTATAGTTATGTAAACTATATGGCACATAATTATGATTATGATTAAATTAACCTTAATTTTATATTTACATTTTCAGTCCAGAGCATTACATTCATGCAGTGATAAGCAGCACTGATTTTTTTTTCAAATGTCCATCCTCCTGAGAAATGCAAGTGTTCAGCTGAAGTTGTTACCTACTGTTTGAATATGACACCTTAACAGTTTAAAAAAGCCAAAGCGTAGGAAATGTAAATGTTATTTGTGATATATAAAACATACACAAATATGTATATACTAACATGTGCGTATTAGTATTATACATATGTGTATATTATGTATAGTATTTATATCTGGTTTTGGCCTATCTTGGAATTTTTCCAACATTTTGAACTGTCCAGATCTTGAGCCTACACACAAAGAGGATTGTGGCAGCTTTAAGAATCCTTTGACTGGTTAGGGGGCTCCTTCTGCCCTTCTGGGATATCAATAATGACATCTTCAGATAGCTTGGCCTCAGAACGTGTATCCTATGAAGCAACTGTGTCTTCCAAGTCTTGATGTTAGCCTGTATCAGGAGGTTCCTGCTCTTCTGGGACATCAATCACAATGTCTTCACATGACTTGGATGCAGCAGCTGCATTCTGTGAAGTATCGTGTGTCCAAAGCCCTGATACTGGTCCTGGGGCAAGTGAGGATGGCTTTGAACCTGCAGATACTGCATCTTGTGATGATCAGGAAAGCAAACTTGTGTGTTCAGAATGTTCCGAGTCTTCAGGAAAACTTTTTTTTTTCTGGATAACATTTCATTGTTCTCCCTTTAAGATAATATATAAGTTTATTAGTCAGGGGGCTCCTTCTGCTCTTCTGGGATATTAATCATTACATCTTCACATAGCTTGGCCTCAGAAAGTGCATCCTGTGAAGTATCTGTGTCTTCTAAGTCTTGATGTTGGCCTTTATCAGCAGGTTCCTGTTCTGCTTTGATATCAATGACAAAGTCATCATCACATGACTTGGAGGCAGCGGCTGTATTCTCTGAAGTAATCCAGTGTGCAGATCTTAACTGTTGCTTTGGCCCAGGTGTGAGGATGGCTTTGAACCTGGATAAACTGTATGACCTTGGTGTTCGGTATGTTCCGGGTCTTCAGGAAGACATTTTTTTTTCTGATCCCCTCTCATTTTTCTCCCTTTAAGACAATATAAATTTATTAGCCAAAAGTTATTTTTACCATTCTAAAAATAGTTCTGCTCTTTGTCCTCCCCAAATTTGAAGAGCCTGTATCATGGTACTGCTTTAAGTATGTTCTTATTTCTTTTTTTTTTTTTTTTTTTTTTTTTGGTTTTTTTTTCGAGGCAGGGTTTCGCTGTGTAGCTTTGCGCCTTTCCTGGAACTCACTTGGTAGTCCAGGCTGGCCTCGAACTCACAGAGATCCGCCTGCCTCTGCCTCCCGAGTGCTGGGATTAAAGGCGTTCACCACCACCGCCCGGCTGTTCTTATTTCTTAAATTACTAGAGTAAATCTTATGTATGATACCTCAGTCTGCAAAGTGCTTGCCACACAAAAATGAGGACCTGAGTTCAGTCCTCAGCAGAGGTCCAAAGCTGGGCATGCTTGCAGTCCTGTGCTAGCGAGACAGAGTTGGATCCCTGGGGCCCTCTGGACAGCGATCCTAGCTCAATCTGTGAGCCTCAGGACAGTGAGAGACCCTGTTCCAAAACCCAAACTGAACAGCTCCTGAGGGGCCACACCCGAGGTTCACCTCTGACCTTTCCTGCACATGCAGACACTCCCCCCCCCATACACACACTCACACTAACAGAAGTTAAACAGCTGTTACTTACCCAGGCGTCTTATTTGTTGAGAAACAATCATCATTGACATGGATACATCCCACATGGCCAAAAAAGAGTCAAAGCAAGATCCTATATTGCCTTTTCCATCCCCTTGTTAGAAACCTCCCCAGCCATAAGGCCTACCTCCAACGCCACCCCACTTTTCTCCCAGATTCAGCAGCTTGTCCTGACTCGCCAACACCCATTTTTTATAGGCCATATTAGAGCCCATAGTGATCTTCCTGGACCGTTAACCGATGGCAATGCACAGGCAGATGCTGCCACCAGGCTAACTTTCCCTGTCATGGAAGGGTCAAAGAGCCCTTGACCCTTTTACCCTGTAAACATCCTATACAAACATCCTGATAACTTGCCCCACCTCATGCAGATGACAGCTTCTTGCTCCCCCCACCCAGCAGGAACTATATAAACCCTCTTGGAGAAAAATAAAGTTGCACCTTGATCAGAATCTAGACTTGGTGTATTTCCTTGTATCTCCTGTCCCTATCATTCCGTCTCTAGGGTGGTCGAGAACCTGTTGAAGCCCTGCAGGCGGGGCACCTTGAGACAATCTTCTGACCCCGGGGAAAGCCATCTTCTTCTCTTTTGGGGAAAGCCAGCCCACGCCCTTTATAGCCACTGGGCTATCAACCCCGTAGTGCCACAAGGACAATGCCGATAGGGTCAGACATACGCAAGCAAGCCAGATTAGGTCCAGGTGCGCGGAAGCAAGCCAGATCCTAACCTTAGCCAAATAAGGAGCACCTGCCATCGGGAAGGCGGAAGCCGGATGCCGGCACCATCTTTGCGGCGCGGCCGTACACGGCTCTCTACAGCACTGTGTTATTTTCTGGATGCTCTAGGGGAGAATTCCTCTTCTTGTTCACTGGAGTCATTGTTAGAACCCTGTTCCTTCCTTTCTGGACAACAGCTGCCGACTGTTCAAAGCTTTCAGAGTATGCACACAATGTAAGTAAATTGGTTGCAACTCGGGTTTAGTCCTGGGTTTTGGCACCAACAATGTAAGTAAATTGGTTGCAACTCGGGTTTAGTCCTGGGTTTTGGCACCAACAATGTAAGTAAATTGGTTGCAACAACTCTGGGGAAAGGTGTCCTGACTACCTGGGGAGTCAGACAACACCTTGAGCTGCTTAGGACAACTCTGATGGTTGAAATGCAAGGAGACTGTTCAACCCTGGAGGGTGAGGTATCCTGGACACCTTGAGCTGCTCAGAACAACAGCTCTGCCCTGAAGGTGTCCCAGACACCAGGAGCTGTTTAGCACAGCTCTGACAGCTGGAACTGCAAAGAAGCAGCCCAACCCCAGAAGGGAAATTTTCTGACTTCTCGGGAGAGTCAGGCCTGGAACTGCTTCAGCAGGGAAGGGTATCTTGACTGTTCTGGGAAGTCAAGGTATACCTGGTGTGATTGGGGGATGGTCTCCCCGCAGTATATAGCAATCCTGCCCCTCTCTGGGAGAGGTGCTACATCTGAGCTTTGCTCAGCTCCCACTTAAGGGGCCTTCCTAGCAGAGCTCTGCTTCTCTGGCCTAAGATGTTGATTCTTTTGCTTCACTCTATACAAAGGGAAACCCCCTGCAGAATGTAGCAATCTCCTCCGGCTCAGGAGAAAAGTATTACTTTTCAGCTCTCTCTTGATCTGTCTACTGGGGGACTCTGCAAAGAGCTGTTCAGCTCCTCCTTGCTCTGCTCTTTCAGCTCTCCCTTGTTTTGTCCACTGAGGGACATCTCAGCAAGGATCTTCTCTACGCCAGTGAATGAAGATCTTCTCACCCAAAAGTCTTTCAAGAAAGAAATTTATTTGGGAGCTGGAGAGATGGCTCAGAGGTTAAGAGGACTGGCTGCTCTTCCAGAGGACCCGAGTTCAATTCCCAGCACCCACAACCACAACCATCTATAATGGGATCTGCTGCCCTCTTCTGGCATGCAGGCAGGATACTGTACATATATAATAAATAAGTCTAAAAAAGAAGATTTATTTGAGAAGAAGGAGTCTAGGAGAGTAGCTGCCTCTACCAGGGTGGAGAGAGCAGCCTTTTTTCTAACTGACCAGGCATGGCAGTTTACATAGGAAATCTTGGGGGTGGAGTCAAACAGAGGCCTAACTTAACGTTAGTGCAGACATGATAGGCTGCGGACTAACAATACTGGGACTAGGCCTCACCATTACAATAACCAGGAAAAGCCACAAACTGTACCCTGTGGGAGACCAATCAGAATTGAGACAAACAAGTACTAGATGCTCTAGAACATTAAGGAGAGCTTACATCACTTGTATATCAGTTGCTAATTTCCTTGCACACCAGTATCAATCCTTGTTTGACAAGACTTCTGTGCCCCACTCCTGCCCAATTGGGAGTTCAACCCCCAGCTGAATCTGGAATTCCCCCACCCCCAATCCTTTACTCCTTAAAATCCCTGCCACAACTGCTCTCCCTGATCCAGCCACTGTGTTGGAACAGACCGAGAACCCAAGCTCGAGCTTGCAATAAAGGCTCTTTGCTTTTGTACATAAACTCAGACTCCTAGTGGTCTCTGGGGGGCTCATGATGTGGGCATAACACTTGCTATTGATCTTTCTCCCCCAGCTTTGAAGCCAGCAACAGGAGATACTTATTTCTCCATCTTACTTACTTATGTACTGCTCTGTTTTTATTTTTGAGACAGGGTCTCATTATGTGAGTCCTGGATATACTGGAACTCACCACATAGATCAGGCTGCCCTTAAACTCATGGACATCTACCTGCCTCTGCCTCCTGAGTGCTGGGATTAAAAGTGTTTGCCACCACGTCTGGGATTTTATTTGTGTGTGTGTGTGTGTGTGATGTCCACATACCATAGTGCATTGGTGGAAGCCAGAGGACAACTTGACGGGGCGGGGGGATTGGTTCTCTCCTTCTGCTATGTGGATCCAAGGATCAGACTGAAGCTTGGTGGCAAGTGCCTTTATCCTGGGAACCATGTCCCGGCTTCATATCTTGAGGTTCCTAATCAACCTGCAACATCCTTTTTGTCCTGAAAGATAACATAGTCACATGTGCAGAAATCTTTGGAGATTCATTGTTCAGTCTAACACACCTAGTGACATTCAAAATGATGTGAGTGGGAAACAGTCTTCAACTTCTATCCCTCTGCCAGCACTCAGCTGTATATGTGATGTGTCATCATCCAGGCTCTGTGCCCTGTGCATTCACTGGGAAGTGTCTGGGGCTGGAGAGATGGCTCAGCCATTAAAGGCTAGGCTCACAGCCAAGAAGTGTCTAAAGACAACTCTTTCATAGCATACAGGATAAGAGGAGGGACACAGTTAAAGGGAAGGGGATGAGTAGAGTTTACTTTCTTCTCCCTAGATGGAGGAATACAGCAACTCATGATCCTGCTGAAATGTTGCTAGGGAAGAATCAGTAGAGCAAAGAGCTACTGGGTCGGCTACTGAAACTAGTCCTCGCCTCTGTTCTTCCCTTCTGCTGTAGTAAAAGTTTTGGCAAAACACATGACTACCTTGCAGCCAAGCTTCTGGATAGCATTGGGTTGCCCTGGTCTGCTTGATCCTGATAACTGGGAGGGAGGTTGAGGCAGCCAGCTGTGTGGGCTTCAGGCTGCATTCTGGTTCCCTGTTCAGAAACTGTTGGCAGTGGTGACTTCTTGAGTTGACTCAGGAAACTCTTCTGTTAGCAATGAGCTTCACTCCCTCCTAATCTCCTAGTCAGACCCTGGAAGAGGACGTTCAGACACTTTGCTGCAAATACTGGGACAGGGCATTTTCAGTGAGTTTCCCCTGACACCGAGACAACACAGGGGAAATGCTGCTACGTTTGTGTTTCCTCATTATAATGTTGGGAAACTGAACTTTTAGGGGGGCAGGTGGCAGAGCCTAGCTACAGAGTCAAACAACTGTGTTTACTACAGTGTGGTACAGAGAAAGAACGGTAATGAGAAGGCTATGAAGCCCAATCAATGGCCAGCCCACTGAAGATCTGCTTTTCACAGGAGAAGGGATACCTTGAGATCTGCCTTGCAGTAGCTAAGAACTAAGCACATGTACAGACAGGTGAAGGCCAGATATACTGCTGAGGAGCCCTCCACACATACACATGTGCACACACTTCAGACACACGTGTGTGTATACCACAATATCAGTCTGATTTCCTGCTTGTGGAGGGACGGTTATTATGAAAGGAATAACCATGTCCTGGGGCCTTTAAAACTCATTCCAGAGGGCTAGAGAGATGGCTCAGAGGTTAAGAGCACTGGGTGCTCTTCCAGAGGTCCTGAATTCAATCCCAGAACCCTCATGATGGCTTACAACCATCTATAATGAGATATGATGCCCTCTGCTGGTGTGCAGGCATACATGCAGGCAGATTACTGTGTACATAATAAATAAATCTTAAAAAAAAAAAAACAGGGTTGGGGATTTAGCTCAGTGGTAGAGAGCTTGCCTAGCAAGCTCAAGGCCCTGGGTTCGGTCCTCAGCTCCGGGGTGGGGGGAACCCTCCTTCCACATGACATATTATGCTAGTAAATCATAAGAAACATAACCCATAAGAGGCTGTGGGGAAGGGCTCCTTCCCTCTGTTTGGTGGTGGCTATGAGGTAAGCCAACATGGGTACAAACAAGCAAATCCAGGAACTATGGAGAAGGAAGCAGTCTGAGGAGATGTGCTTTCTTCTTAGAGTCCTCTGCAGATGCCTCTCTGTACTCTTCAGGGCTCTCACTCCACCCAGGCAGATAAAGTGTGAGACTGGAAAAGATGGCCACACCAAGACAAGTCCCATAAGGAAGTGCACCATGTGACTGTAAACTGCTAATCCTACAGGTGGGCATACAGCAAGCCTGAGTGGCTGGAATTCTCGCTGGGTTGAAGATTCCTGGTAGAGACTCAGAGCTTCTCCTCATTGATAGAGACCATAAAGGTAGAACTCTTGATCCCAAATGCACCAGCAGCCTAGACCACCAGCACAGGAAGATGCATGGGTTTGACATCGGCCAGCCCAAAGGCCACAAAACCCACCATGCATCCTTGCTGAGAGTAGCTTGGGGAAGGAGTAGAATGCCCACTTTCACTGTTACTGCTAATATAAGCAGTGCCTATGAATCACACCTTGAGCAGTTTAATTTGGACAGCAAACAGGTAGGGTAGTAATGTCTGTATCTGCTTGGACCATCCTGTTTGGCCAGGTAAAAGACTGACGGGCCTGGCAGATGACTCAGTGGCTAAGAGTGAATACTGGAGAGATGGCTCAGTGGTTAAAAGCACTGACCGTTCTTCCAGAGGTCCCGTGTTCAATTCCCAGCACCCACATGGCAGCTCACAATTGTCTGTGACTCCAGTTCCAGGGGACCGTCATACAAACATATACACAGGCAAAACACCAATGCACATAAAATAAAAATAAATCAACTATTTAAAAAATTGATAAACAATTGATAGAAAATGTGCTGGAGGCCTCAGAATTTCATTTTAAATAAAGTCATGTCAATAGTAAGGGTTTAAAAAAGGATTTTTCCATAACCTGGTAACAAGCCAAAGTAGAAATGTCCTACTTGTTCTTTTTACAACCAAACTCCACTAGCAGCAGGATGTAACCCAAAGGGTACTCAGAGGAATAAAATCTGGCAGATGGGAGCCGGGCGATGGTGGCACACACCTTTAATCCCAGCACTTGGGAGGCAGAGGCAGGCGGATCTTTGTGAGTTTGAGGCCAGCCTGGTATACAGAGTGAGATTCAGGAAAGGCGCAAAGCTACACAGAGAAACCCTGTCTTGAAAAAAAAAATCTGGCAGATGGATGTGTTTTATTTTGCAGAATTTGGAAAACTGGAATATGTACACCACACCATTAATACCTATTTGGGATTTCAATGGGCAACTGCTCTGAGTTCTGAAAAGGCTGATTCTGTAATCATGCATTTGCTAGAAGTTATGGTCATCATGGGTATACCTGCACAAATTAAAACTGACAGTGCTCTAGCAAATGTCTCTGGTAAAACGAAACCTTTTTTTTTTACTTATTACAATATAAAGCACATTACAGGTATATCACACAATCCTATAGGCCAAGCAGCCATAGAAAGATCAAATCGAACTCTAAAGGATATGCTAAATAAACAGAAAGGGGTAACAAAAACCCCCAGAAATAGATTACATAATGCTCTATTAACTTTGAATTTTCTCAATTCTAATGAGAAAGGAACAACATCTGTGGAGAGACATTGGATAACAGAAAAAACTACAGAATTAAATCAGCCTATAAACTTTAAAGATGTGCTGACCTCAGAATGGAAACCAGGATATGTGTTACATCGGGGACGAGGTTTTGCTTTTGTTTCTACAGGAGAAGATAAGCTGTGGATACCATCAAAATTGATAAAGATTTGATTTGAACAAGAGAGACCTCTTAATTAAAAGAAGTGATAGTTCATCAACCAGCATGACCATTCAATTTAAATTAACTTATACCACTAACAAATGCTTTTCATTTGGTCAGATATAACTTGCCAAAATGGAACCTCCCCAAAGTTAGGCTTGGGGAAAGGTTTTTGTTTTTGTCTTTCAGGAGAATGAAAGCTAAGGAATCAAGAACACTGGACACATGAGACATCTGACGAAAAAGGACAAATCATCCAGAAAAAAATGGCCCAAAAAAAAAGAGTAAATTGACCTACTGGTATATCACATATAAAATTTCCTAAGTCTTCCTAAATGTTTGTTTCTGCTCTTCTCTAAAGACATTTAACACAAATGGTCTTTATGAAGTCCCAGTTCAATTAAAAATTAAAGCTGACTTTGGAGTTGGAGCATGGCTCTTTCCTTCTCTAAACCAAAGCATGCTTGTTAAAAGAAAATGCAAAATCCTCTGTATCATGTCAGAAGAGCCATCTGATACGGGACAGAAGAAAACCAAAATTAAGGGACTATTCTATTGCCACTAATCTCCTAATTCTTTGGTTCTATTTTTGATTCTTTAAAACTTTTCTTGAGGTATGAATTTTATATCAAAATTCATAAGATATATATACATATATATTGAGCTTTTGTTATGATATTAATGGTCCTATAGAGTACAAACTAATTCTAAAAAAAAGGCTTCATCCAGCTGCCTATACATGTTTTCGTGTTTGAGTCTCTATCAGTTTTCTGCAGGGAATCATGACCAGGCCTAACAGCAAATTTGAAGTCTCCATAAAGATGATGGGGCCCCACAACAACGATTCCATCAGGACAATGATAACACCACTAAGCTGACAAACACCACCCAAAGATTGGCTTTGACTACAAACTGCTCAGGACAATTTTGAGATGGCTAGCTGAGAAGATCCAGCTTCACAGACTATTCAATTGAGGACTTCAGATAAGCCCTGCACTTTTGCATTATGCAGAGACTGGACAACAAAAGATACAGCTACCTCTCCCAGAACTTGAAAATTAACGCAAAATTTTCTTTTCAGGATCCCCTAAAGATGCCTTTGCCCCTGCTTCGGGCCACAGGAATATATCATAAGAACTCAGCTGGTTATGGCAAAGTCCCTACCTGGAGGGATCAAGGATTTCCTCCAGAGGAAGCCAAATCCCAAGGAGCTTTTGATGTTACTTGGCTTGTCATATATCAGCTGTCTTCTGTTATGAAAATCATGTGTGCCTTCATAGTTTTCCCAATTGACTTTTCCCTAAGAAGGGCTAAGAGTGTGGACTGATCACTCTCTGGACATACACATTCCAGGTATTTGGAGAACAGCCTCAGGAAAGGCTTTCTCTGGAATCAGTTATCTCCCTTGGCCACTTTCAAGGACTAGCAGTAATAACAGTCCACATGCAAGTCTCCTGATTTAAGATAAATTCCACAAGGAGACACCACCTAGGTCAGGTGGACCTTAAGTAATAGCTTTACACAATTTAGCTCAGACCCTCCTTTCTTACAGCCTTACTAACTTTATAGACCTTTAACTCTTTACCTAACCACTTCTAGGAATATTTAGATAACTTTCTGTGCTGACAGCTATGCTCAGCCAGA